CTTAATACCGTGTCTCGGTGGCTTGAGTCGCGTCCATCGGTTAATGCTGACTGTCGATGATCATGATGTTAACGGGTAAGGCGCGACTCAACGCAAATGGTGGTGTCTCGACTGACTGAACGTTATTAGGATCCACGAAGATGTAAAGCCTGATAATATTTTGCTAGTCAAGGGCGGGTCGGGTTCTCATTACGAATTCACTTCGAAAATTGCAGACTTTGGACTCTTTTCACACGTCAGGGAGTCAAAGACAAATAGTAGCGAAGCGATGGGGGTTGATACATTCGGGAACCAGCGTTATAGTATGTCCTCATTAGCTTCCTCTACTCCAGCCCTAACCAAAGACAGGCTCGCCTGAGTGTAGCCACTCTTCCTTATACCGAGAGAACGGTCCGAATGTAATCAGCACCAAAGCCGACATATTCTCATTCGGCGCTGTCCTGAGCGACGCCTGCGCGTGGGTGAAAGGTGGTCTTGACGAGAAAGTGAGGTATTATGAGCAGCGGCGAGACTACCATAAGAGCAATGTCCGGGCATTCTCTGGGGGCGACTACGAAGGCTGTTTCCACGACGGTATCGACCGGCTGCCGGTAGTCGACGATATGCATAAAAGCATTCGCACGCATTGCGAATCTGTCGGTGACAAGGTCACGCCACTTATCATTGATGTCGTAGAGCAGCACATGCTGCTCCGAAACCCGAATGACAGGTACAACGCTATCGAGCTGAGGAAGAAATTCAGTGAGATTCTCCAAACACCAGATTATGGGATATCAGACCCAATGTCTAGCGCGGCATCTTTAGATCCACAATCCGCGGAAAAATTACGTGGTCCGTCTCTAGTAACACTAGGAGATACCATCACAACACGGCAATCTATCATAAGCCGCAACACGAAGCTTCGTGGCCCTATGGACAAGGAAATACAAGAACTCGTGGAGTACCTCAAGACTAACGTGCCTGACCGACATCACCTCTTCTTCATCGACGATTCCACGGCTATGAAAATGCATTCGGACTCAGTGGAGAAGGCATCTCTGGCGCTCCTGCATTTAACCAGCTCTCTCGAAGAAGGCAGGGCAGAGATTTCATTTGCCTCAGACCCCAAACGTCTACACCGTACACGCCGGACCAGGAAACTAGCTCGCCTGCTAAAGGGCCATAGTTACGGCCGAGAGCCGAACATGATGGAGGACTCCTTCAGACGTCTAGTGGATAACGTGATCATTCCACATCTACCACTTCGAAAATTCGGCATAAATTTCAACTTCTTCAGAACTAAGAAGCCAACTAGCATATACGTTTTCACAGACGGCAACTGGGGCAGCGATGAGGAGGCAGCTTGTGGCGTTGAGAACCCTCTGGCTCGGTTAAATCATGAATTAAGGAGCCGTGATTTAGATCGGAATCATATTTCATTCCACTTCATACGTTTTGGCGATAATGAGAACGGAATAAGGCACCTTAGGTACCTAGATAATATTGGCGATGGGGATAATTGGTGAGTTATATCATTCTCGCCTTCCTGCTCTCCTTTTTAAGAACCAGACGGATCACCCTCCGATGGAAGATGCCAAGGCTAATGTTTCATAGGGATAATATAGACGTCAAGAGTGTTTCCAAACCGGTTAAGACGATTCTTATAGGTCCGCTTAGCCCAGATAACGATAAATCCGACGAGAAAGAAACGATCAGCTAAGCACGGTATGACTAGAGGACAGGTATAAAAGGTTCAGCATATTCTCGGCGTTTACATCAGGCTCTAGCTCACGCTTCTTCGCATCGATTCCTGGTACTGTATAATGTATGTATATTATAATGTTTTGGCTCTTTGCAACTATACCCCTTTTGTATCATAGAGTTACTTCCAACCATACCATTGTTACCTACCCACATATAGGTATTGTTACTCTTATTTTATATGGAGAGGATATAGGGAGAATATAGAGAGGAGTATCTATGAGCTACTGCCTACATATACATGGCTTCGCCAGCGGTTGACACACATGGTGACACTTATAAGGAGAAAATTGATAAGAATACACTACTGGTATTCTCTAGCACCCTTAGCTCTGACCCCTGATCGTCCGTCGCCAGGTTTGGTTGTGGCTACCGTATCACAACCCCCTATAGCTACTATGTAGCACCCGAGATGCCAATCAAATACGTTCCCCGAACCAGACGGTTCGGACTCAGGGCAAGCTTAAGGGATTGCATATATCTATCCAGAATAGGTAGAAAATCAGCTACGAGGTGAGTCAATATAAGTTAACTAAGCAGTTACTCGGTCGATATATCAACCATCAGCATATGAACTCATGACATTTGCCGATTAATTACTACGGTTCACTCGGCCCACACACGCTCCATCCATTTACCTGATACTCAACTAAGTTATAGTAGATCTGTATGCAAGGATGTTCTGCCGAGTATATTCCAAGCATCAGTTAATGATCGACGACCCGTCTCTTGGCCGACCTCGCAAGCAGCGTTTCCCCGCACAGCTTCAAAAGAAGAGACTAAGCTACCTTCTTCAAGCTGGGTGCGATCAGCAACCTTCTCCAACAAAACTGAGCTACTAGACGTAGTAGATACGAGAAAAATCTCCGGACTACGAATTCCCCCCCTAATTAGACGATTTATCGCCGTTTTTTAAGTAGGGTACATAAGGTAGCTAGAGGCTCGTACTATGCCTTCGGACAGGACGCAGGATCCGGATTCACATGCTTTTCCTACCAAGCAGCTCACTATCCTCGGTGCGTATCCTTGCCAAAGTTCGTGCGATATCCAACTCCCTGACTGATAGGAATTTGATAGCAATATGTCGCTTTTCGGAGCCGATCGCGTTCAATTCGATCCTCGCGTACACGTACGTGATGGTCCAGGATCTTCACGGGGGTGATGCTACCGATGCATCGTTCTACGCCGGTCTTCTTGTCTCGGCCTATGCTGTCGCTGAAGCCCTAACTGCTATTGGCTGGGGAGCGCTCTCCGACCGATACGGAAGGAAGCCGATTGTCTTGTTCGGGCTCTGTGGCGTAGCAATCTCGAGCCTCATCTTTGGCCTGGCGCAGGAGTACTGGGTAGCGCTCCTGGCTAGATTTATCGGCGGAGCTTTGAATGGCAATGTCGCCGTATGTGCAGATCCATATGTTCCAACCCATTATCGTTACCCCCCTAAACCACCCCTTTTTTTAACATCCGACAGCTTGGACGATTGCTTATTTTCAATTCTAGGTTATGCAAACAATGGTAGCCGAAATGGTCAAGGTACCAGAACATGAGCCGAAAGCTTATGCCACGCAGCCATTTGTCTGGACCCTGGGCGGCATCATCGGCTCTGCTATGGGAGGATTCCTGGCTCAACCAGCGAGGTTCTATCCGTCGCTGTTCCCCGCCGATGGGCTCTTCGGCAGGTACCCCTATCTACTGCCAAACCTCGTGTCGGTGGCAGTGATTGTGTTGGCCATCGTGCAGGGGATGCTCTTCCTGGAGGAAACCAATCCCCAACACAAGAAGAGCGCTCATGAGAGCGTGTTCGAAGACGACGAGACGACTGACGAGCGTACTCCATTGCACCGCTCCAAAGCTCGGAGGTCGTCTGCCCGGAGCCAGTCGCGGGCCACGAGTGACCGGCCCGTGTTTATCGAGGAGAGCCTGCCGGTGCCGGTGGAGCAGAATTTCGATCTAAGGAGGTCGTCGTTCGGGACTGTATGCTCGATCAAGCTGCCCCCTAAAGCCCCGAAGCAGAACGAGACTTTCAACGGCAAGGCGTTCAACTTCACCATCATCATGGTGACCATCGCGCTTGTCCTGGTTTCATACCATCAGATGGCCTTCAACACCCTCTTGCCCACACATCTCCTGGATAAACCGGCGTCACCGCCAGGCCAAATCGATCTAATCGGTGGCCTAGGATACACCGTGCACGACGTGGGAGTCTACTTATCGGTCAACGGGATCCTTGGGCTATTCATCCAGGCGATCATATTCCCCATCTTCGTGGACAAGGTTGGAGTCTGGAAATCGTTTATCCTCAGCATTGTTTTCTACCCCCTGGCGTACGTGGTCATGCCGTTCCTATCTGCCATACCGTCCGCTCTGGTATCCCCGGGTATATACCTCTCGCTTATCCTGCAGAGCCTCTTCGGCATCATTGTCATTCCCTGCGCTCTTATCTTATTGAAGGATGCCACGCCCTCGCCGCTCGTTCTTGGGAAAGTTAACGGTCTGGCTATGTCGGCTTGCTGCTTAGCTCGAACTGTATCCCCGCCTGTGGTGGGCATTATATACAGTGCCGGTGGTTCCGCGGCTGCCTGGTTCAGCTGTGCTGGCGTTGCGGTAATCGGAGTTGTGCAGCTCCTTTCGGTGCCAAGAAAGCATAACCCTAGCATCGTGGTAGACGATGGCGCGATCGTGAGCAAAACCCGACGAGACCCCCGGGACAGAGAATCCAGAACAAGCCCCGTCCCGGAAGAGTAATTCGTCCCAGCGACTGTCTCCACGATAAATCTGGGTATATACGCGGGCTCGTTCTTGTTATTGTTTGCATAGAAGCCGGGTTTCACGGTCATGGGATACATACAGTACGTGCTGCTAAATGATTATCTCAAGGTGCTAGGTGTTGGTATAGAATGTGGTTTTGGGCTTGATACAATCGAAACGACAAGTTTATGACCTCTTCTTTGACGATAGAATGGATATTTATGGGCATGCTTGATGATTTTGTAATAAGGAGCATAGTTCAGGTAGCGTCTAATAAGCAGCACACCTAGCTAGTACATAGAGGATAGATTACTAGCTAGTATAGATTGTCTTTTGCCATTATTCGCTGTCAAGCATCATGGTAATGATAACCAGGTCATCAGCAAAAGTAGTAAAAAGTAGGGGGTTCATTTTTTCGAATGTCTCGTGGCATCCCACAAAAGAATTCCCAACGCCAGATTAAGGCTAGAGGACAAAAAAAGATGCGGTACAGGAGGAATTGAACCTCCATACGATGGACTCGCGGGGAATCGAACCCCGGACCACTCCCAGGCGTTGAACGAGATATCCTAGGGACTCGTCGTACGGTGCTAAGGGAGTATTATACCACTAAACCACAAGCCCGTTTTGATCCAATCAGATCTTGTGAAGAACTGATTGCCGGCTGATGGGAATTCGGTACTGTTAAATCCAACTATAAGTTTGAGGCTCATTACATGGGTGGGCGACGAGGCGACCCTAATTAAGCGAGTGGAAAAGAACCCACTCGTGAACCGATGGGTTGCCATTCTATCGGGATCCGGACTAAAAACTAAAGAGCGCAATGGTATATTGCAAGGATAAGGTAAGTCTCCTAGGTTGGATTGAAAAGATTTATACCATGCTTAAGTTGATAAGGGTGGTAGTCTTGAGAGCACCGGGCCCTGTCACTTTTCGCGCGCGATTGAATATACTACTAACGTGGAAGATCTTACTATAAACACGAAAAAGTCATTTAGCGTCCATAATAGTATCGAAATCTATATAGGAGTTCGGGTAAATGTACTCAAGAACTCTTAGACGGCCATGTCTCGTAATTCATCATCAGATACGAGTGCGACTAGTCGCTCCTAACACCACCTATCAAGAGAGCATCAACCTTTGACCCTTTCTTGAGCGGTTCCTTGCCACTGGGCATGCATAATAAGCAATTAGCACCCCTAAGGCTGCCGACCTTGGAGCTCCGTTGGCCGCCCGTGCTGGACGCAACCAGGGTTCCATCCTTGCTTACTGAGACAATGGCACGATGATACTCGGGTCGCGCCTTATCTAGGGCGAAGTCGTGGGCAAGGGTGACGGGCACTCTCGTCAGGCCGACCGGCGAAACGCCCGATATCTGGTGAAGTGAGGGCAGAACGAAAAGGTGAAATGTGACAATAGCCGACGCTGGGTTGCCAGGGAGGGAGAAGATGACCTTGGTAACTCGCTCGCCTGCGTTATTCTTGACGGGAACGGTGGCGAAGGTCGTAGGTTTGCCGGGCTTCATGGCGACCCGACCGAAGTGGATGGTCCCCCCTAATGATCTTTCGATGGTTGGCTTCAACAAGTCGAGCTCACCCATCGAAACGCCCCCGGTAGTGATAATGAAATCTACGTGTCGCAAGGCGTCCCTCAGCGTTTGTTCCAAGGTGCCAGGCTTATCCGCCGCGATACCGAGGTCGACGACTTCGTATCCACATTCCCGTGCGGCACACATTAGGGTGATGCGGTTGGTATCACGTACTTCACCCAGGCGCAAGTCGCCGGGTCGGTCGTGCTGGACGATTTCGTCACCAGTAGATAATACCCCTATAACGGGTTTGCGGTAGGTTTTCACTTCGGCAACGCCGACGGCAGCGAGGAGACCTATCTCGCCACCGACGGCTGAAATCTGCTCGCCCTTGCTGAGAATGACCGATTCCGCCTTGATATCGCTGCCAATCTCGCGAATGTTCTCTCCTTCCCGGACATTATCGGCCAGGATCTCCACTTCCTTCTCCTCTTTACCATCCTCAGTCATAGTCTTCAGGACGGTGTCCTCGACCATGATAACGGAGGTAGCCCCTGGCGGCAACGGCGCTCCCGTAGTGATCCGAGCAATTTGGTCTTCTCTCAGGGGTATTGCGTCTCCCGGAGAAGCATGAGAGACTGAGACGACGGGGAAGACCCTTTTCATATTCCCGTCTTTTGGCACGATGACGGCGTATCCATCAACAATACTTGCTCTAAAAGCAGGGACATTTTCTCTGGCTTTGACGTCTTCAGCCAGTACGTGACCTGGTATTGACCGGTTAACTTTGGATGTAATGATTTCTGGTCCCGGTGTGTGCTCCTTGATCTTGTTCAAGGCATCCTCGACCGAAAGCATCGGAAATGGCGACTCCCGATTCCTCCGGCTAGGGCCGAGACTTGGATCGTTGGACATTGGATTTGCGCTTGGGGCCGTATGTCTGACTAGATTGCCGTGGCCATGACCGTGACCATGGCTGTGTCCATGGCTATGATCATGCGAATGGACGCTTCCGTGGCCGTGGTGATGATCGTGTGAGTGAGTGTGGCCTCCGCTTGGTCTTATACCGGCGTCCGACTCAAGCTTTTTGACTCCACCGGCATGTAATGTTCTTGAGTCCATACCGGCAGCTTGGAGACACGCGTGTGGAAGTGTTTTTAGTACTGCTTGTAAGTTCTCTCGAGCCCCTTTTGGTGAACCCGGAAGTGTGATGATGACTGATTTGTTCCTGACACCCGCGACTGGACGGGACATCATGGCGACTTCGGAACGTCAGTATATAGCACTATAATTGAATATGGATCTGCCTACTAACATGGAGTGACGTTCAAAGAAGCTGCTAGCATGCCGTGAACAAGGCCAGGCGCAGGCTTATGAAGAAGAGCCGAAACAGCCTAAGCCTAATTAGTTATACTGTTATCTGTTATAGAGGTTATTGGATCATAATATGAAGCTATATAATTGTACCTCCGGGGTATTGTCCGCAACCGCGAAACCGGTTCCCCCAGTTGTGAGAATCAGATTAATAGTTTCAGCCGCAACATCCGTCCACATCATGATCTGTCTCTGAATCTGAGGGACGGCATCGGGAACTATCTTAGTATCGACGAGGTTCCACTGCCCGCCGCCTTCTTTCTCAAGGACATCACTCAGGGCTTCTTGCGAGGCATCTGTTGAGGGGTCTTTGGCCGCTGTCGTGGAGACGATGAGTAATGTAACTCGTAGGGTCGCATTAGACATCGTTATCGAATTCAGACTTGAAGATGATATAATTATTGATTTGGCAGATGATTCGATTCTTATATACTTCACAATTATAAGATTCGCCTTCTGAATCACTTCCAAGGTTGTTGAGATGAACGTAGGGGGTGTATAAATGAACTGCAGCGATGACAAGCCTAAACTTCACTAAGATTGAAATGTACAGCGTAAGTGCGGGGCGTGACCACATTCGCTTTTATGTCGTCTATCAAAGCAAGGCATTAATACCAAATACGCAAGATTGAAGATGATAGATGAAAGGGAAAACAGGAGTCTCTTATTTTATTTTTAATTCTTGAGAGTATATGTACCATATCGGTCTATTCTCTCAGAATCAACTTGAAGTAGGTACATGTACATATATCAATCGATATTGCAACGCCATTGACTACGGAAGGTACGTATTATGTCATTACCAGGCAAGTAGTGCAAGGTTACCCTGTAGAGCTCCGATAAGATAAAGCTTCCTTTGGCTGCTGGTTGGGTGATGGAAATTTCAGTTTCGGAAACAGTTTATTTAACACTAATACCTTGGCCTGGAACTTCAACCTTCATGTTTCATTTACACATCTCAGTTCCTCTACGATTAGATGTGTTACAGCTCAGATATTCGGGATAGCACGCTGCTCTTATAGTGAAATCGATTGTTTCAATTGATTTTTAGACGGATGGTCCCTTAAGTTAGTTACAATGGTGCGGATTAAGGAGCGCTACCTCCTAGTGAAGATCCTCTACCCAGACGAACTAGGCAGCCGGCATGACCTCCCTGATATCGTGGTCATCAACCAGCCTACAACCGATCAGCTCAATCCCGCAGCTCTTCTCAGAGGCATACGCGCAGAGACTGCCAGTTTATTCGGGGACTACGGTTCGGGGGCCCTCGAGGGTGGGAACTTATCAAGTGAGTCAGCAGCAAGGAAACTCGTAGTGACTTGTAAGAGGCTTACACCAACTTCATTAGTCAAATATTTCTCTCACGCCACTTCAACATTCATTCTGCGAATTTCGCGATCATCATACCGCCTGGTCTGGACTGCTCTCACTTTTATGAACAGCATCCCCGTTAAGAATGGGAAACCGTGTGTCTTTCGCGTTGTCCACGTAAGCGGCACCATGCGCAAAGCCGAGGAAGAAGCTATCCGCCGGGCCCGGAATCTCATTTTCGCAGCAGAGAATGACCATAAGGAGAAGTCTGACCCTCTCGGTAATCTATTCGGAAAATCGGACCAACCGCAACGCGAAGTTGTCATGGCAGACATAGGCATTGAAGATGACGACAGCGACGTGGAAATGGGTGAAATAAATTACGGTTGAAAGAGTATCATTGATTTCTTCGAACTACCTTCACTCCACTATCGCCTGCGGGAGGTGGCATCCCATCAAACTCGTCGTCATCATCGTCAGGGATCAAGTCTGGTGTGGTTGTCCCTGTGTCGCCATCCATCCCTCTATTGTGGTCCTCCCACTCCTTCTCTTCCGAGGCATCATATGCCTCTTTTTGGTCGACCCACCTCTCTTGGATGTCTTGCACATCCATCATCGACTCCTCGTTACGCATAGCGACCTGCCAGACGGTATCGTTGGCCCCCTCAGCGCCACCGAACACGTAACCTCCGGCTCTATCGATGACCCGCAGAAGGTGCATCATACTCTTCTTATTCTCGACAGCGAGAACTTCAAATCGGACCAGAGCAAAGTTTTCGACAAGATTCGCGACGGCTTCGTTAAGCCGACGAAACTTGTCGCTGCGCATTGCGGGCGACTCCTGCTCGAGGTATGTCATTAGGTACGACAGGTCCTGGACTTCGGTGTAGTAATCGAGGTTGAACGGTAGTGGATCGTACGATGAAACCTTGTCGATCTTGGTGAGAACATTTATGTGCGGGAGATCCATCTGAAGCATTGCGCGGAGGGTGAGAAGTAGGTTGGAGATATAGAGGGACGGCTGCGTCAGGCAGAAGCTATCGGATAGGTGTACAACTACGAGCTGTGTTACGTCAGTCGCCAGGTTCTATACGGTATCGCCAACGTAATATCATACTCGGTAGCCCATCTTCTGGAGTTTGAAGAAAATATTCCGGAGTGAATTATGATGTGTATACAGCTCGACCTGGCCAGGACAGTCGAAGAGGACATACGAGTCTCCAAGCTCCTTTAGTCCATTCTCGAGCCATTCCATATTATGCTCGAGCTCTTCGAATGCATATAGTATGCCACCATTCGGCCCAAGCTGGTCATCCTTCATAATCTCCTCTAACGTAATTAAGTCGCGAATATCGAGGGCGCACGGGTAATTCGTTTTGTCGTTGGCAGGGTCTAGATTCACGACGGAGCA